AGGCCCTCCTCCTCCTCCTTTCTCCCCATCACGCACAAAAAGAATGGGGCCTTGAAAGGGATGAGTTTATTATGCGCTTTTAAATGACTATTCAGGAAAGAACAGGAGGCAAAATAAAAATGCTTCCCACCCCACCAATTCCCTTCCCTTGAAGCAAAGAAAGAAAGGGAAAGCAACTCACAAAGGTAAGACGGGGATTTCAGATTTTGTGTGTGTGCTTTTTTTTGCTTTTTTTTTTTTTAACCAAAATAACATTTTCCAGGTTGCGAGTGTATTTTTCTCAGGGCTAACCCGAGGGCCTAATAAAATCTGGGAAAGCTGTTATGCCCAAATCCATTTTGTGCAGGAGTTTGTGAAAGCAACTTTGCTGAGTGCAAACCTTAGGTAATGAAACCCCAAATACTTCGAAAAATCACCTAGTCTTCCTAGGAAGGAGCGCTGCACTTTTCCAGTTCTGTAGGATAAAGTTGTCTCAGGAAAATAAAACTGTTGATAAACCATGGTTCCAGACTGTTACTTATTTTACAACCTTCGGTTTGCAATCGATCATAGCCTGGGCCTAACAGGACTGAGTGGGGCTTTTCATTTGTTTATAGTGTGTGCAGTGTTTTATGCCTCAAATGCGCCATGTCAGCTATGCAAAGTAATGCGTTACTTTTGTTCACATCGTGCATCCACCTCCACAATGGTTTTTGTTTAAAATAAAGGTCATTATTATTTTACAGTATTGCAAAATGGAAACTTCAATCCTAGACATCTGAGAAACTTCTCTTTAAAAATCCAATTCCGAGCTGGGAAAAGCAGAGAGGAGCTCATGTTTACTTCGTTTGCAAAGTGCAATTGAATCTATTTAACGAGATCAGCTTTAATCCAATCTAATAAACCATCAGCTTGCTCCTGTGTCAAAAAGGCCACTATGCCTGCCTGAGTTCCAAATTCTTTCTCATTGCCATGTCATCAGATATATCTGTCATTCCCTTGTTTTTGCTAAGTGAGTGGCTCAAAAGTTCTGGTTAGTTTTCTGAGGTAACAATCACAATGTAAGTTTTCCTGACTCCACTAAGTATAAAGAAATCCTAGAATCAGAATTTTGAGCCAAAGGGAAATTCCTCACTTTACATGGGAATAAACAGCCTGAGAGAAGTTAAGTGACCAGTCTCACATGGGGTTCCCAACACACTCCAGATCTCACTACCCTGGTGGACAAATGGTCTCTCCCCACCTCCAGGCTCCCGTGGGGTTCAAAGGGAGGAAACTGGAAAAGGACTCAACAGCAGCATTTTAGGAAAAGTAATAGGATGTGGAAGGTGAGAAATGGTAAATCCAGGTGATTAAACCAATTTCAAAGATTCAGGCATCAGATGGTCCTAGAAAAAACAGGGGAAGGCAGAAGCTGTATAGAAAAATAATCTGGCAAAATAAGGACTGTGGAGGGAAAGTAAGTGCTGATTAAGACATCTCAAACATGAGGTCAAAATCACCATCAAGAGAAGGAAGATTTAGAAGTTTGGGGTTTGGAAAGTTCATGTCCACATTTTGTAGACAGACAAAACTAAAGTAAGTGTACATAAGAACTTGTGAGAGAATGAGTCTCAGGAAGAAAGGGTGATGAACTGCCTCATGAGAATGAGCTAGTGGAGGTACTGAGACCCAAGGAATGGCCTCAGTCAAGGTGAAATATAGGTGGTTGTAGAGTTTCATCCCAGGAGGACTTGATGAGAATGCGGTCATCTGACCCACATCACACATCACAGACTTGCTTCGTCTGCTCAGCAGGAGGATCTGGAAACCAGTATCTGGACCTTGAAAAAGCTGCCTGCCCAAGGCCACCCAGAAGCTCCATGCCAGGTGGAGCAAATTCAGGCTTTCTGATCCTAAGTCAATTGTGTGTCCATAGAGCATGTCACTTTCCTGGTTAGGATTTGGAATTGTTGTTAGAAAAGGCTCTAGAGACACACTTTTTTTTTTTTTTGTGGGGTGGGTACCAGGGGTTGAACTCAGGGACACTCAACCACTGAGCCACATTCCCAGCCCTATTTTGCATTTTATTTAGAGACAGGGTCTCACCAAGTTGCTTACCACCTTGCTGTTGCTGAGGCTGGCTTTGAACCTGTGATCCTTCTGCCTCTGCCTCCTGAGCCACTGGGATTAGGGGCGTGCGCCACTGTACCTGGCTAAAGAGACACACTTTGAGTTGTTAATTGTTTCCCATTTTCAGTCCCCCTAAATAAAATAAGAATATACTCCACAGTGTTCCTCTACTTATACTTTCCACGTAAGAAATGAATTTACTTCGTTGTTGCTTAAGAACACCCACTTTTCAGGAATGTTTAGGCTCTTGAATGGAATAAATAAATTTTACATCAGTTGTTCAGTCTTGAAAGCCAATAGAACACTCATACTTTATTGTAATTATTCCTGACTACCGCTGAAGTGATGGAAAGGTAGGTAAGGTTTTAAAACCAACTTCTTGGGATTTGTCTCTCCTCCCCATTTTTGTTTTTAAACAAGACTGGTCAGTTTGAGCAAGGGCTTACTCCTCTGAGCAGGTAAATCAGCACCAGTGTTTCTGAATGTTGTCTAGGATGATGGGTGGTTCCTCCTAACCTGCAAGAGCCACTCTTATGCAACTAGGAATTTAGCCAAATTCCAAACATAGAAAATATGATGCTCTGGTTGCCTAGATACTCTGGTTAACTGATAGTGACCACATACATCATAAGCCAGTGTCTGATTCTTAAAAACTTCAAAGGTTGTTAAAGGAGTCTTAGATGCCAATCTCCTTACACAAAGCAGCAGGCAGAAATTGTTGATAATCTGGCAAAGGAAAATATTCAGACCCTATGATGTTTACTGTCTGTTTATAGACTGATTTTGCACACAATCGAGAGTCATTTCCTCACAAATAATTTCTCTCTAATGAATAATGATGTCTTTGTTGTGAACCCATGGTCCAAATAGCAAGTTTCCCCGAGTCATAATTACCTACAACTATTATATGTTTTCCCATTCAATTAAGCATTTCTTACAGAAACAATTTTTTATTAAAATACTCAAGAAATGATTAAGAAATGATTAAGAAATTAGCATATAAACTAAAGAAGGCAATATTTAAGTAGGATACCCATAAGCCATTTTAAACCATAATTTATGGATAGATATATATGTTAAACAATTAGGGATCTTCCCCCACTGGTTGTTAATTCTTTTTCATGATAGTTTTGCTGCCTTACTCTTCCCAAACTAAAGCTCAAATTATTTATCTTTTTTTGGTTTGTTCAGATTTCCTAGGACTTTTTTTTTACAACTCCTTAAAAACAAATGTCAAAACCCCTACATCTTAAAAAAAAAAAAAAAAAATCCCTACATCTGCCCTGTTTCTATTTAACTATGGTCCTCTCTAGCTGGAAAGCCATGCGGAAACAGAATTAAAAGAAAAGCCTGAAAGTCCAAATTCCTTATTCCCACTCTTTTCCTTTTGAGATATTCAATTTATCCACAAGGACCAAACACCTACCATGTGACAGGCATTAAGGAAACAGGTGGATAAATACTGTCCCTGTCCTCCAGAATCTTATAGGTACCTGGGGGCACCTATGCATACACATATGTTTATGTAATATAGCAAATGCTGTAAGCACTTTACTGAACTTCAAAAATCTGGATGCTTTCATAAAAAGAAAAAAAGAGGAGAATTTTTATGGTAGCTTAATTCATGACTTCCCTGTTAACTTCATAATTTTTTTCCACCAGAGATCCCATGCTATAATTCCCCACCTCCAACAGGTATTGGCAGGCTCACTCATTAGTAGTTATTATTGGCAACCACAATTTAAACCTAGATTGTTCCAGAGAGTGTACCTTGTCATAAAGCTTCATTTTTAAAACCATCCCAGGTATACCTTGGTTAGCATTGATTGTCCATTACGATCTTGATTTATTAGGTTACGATATATATATTTTAGAAATATTTGAAATATGTACATATGTATATCTAAACATATACATGTTTCACTCTGGATATTAAATTACAAGTGTTATGGTGGCCTATGATGCCATTAGGAAAGTAGTAGAAAAAAACCATTGAGCTGGGTGCAGTGGCACACGCCTGTACTCCCAGTGGCTCGGAAGGCTAAGGCAGGAGTGTCACAGGTTTGAAGCCAGCCTCAGCAACTTAGTGAGGCTGTAAGCAACATAGAGAGACCATGTCTCAAAATAAAAAATAAGAAGGGCTGGGATTGTGGTTCAATGGTTAAGCGCCCTGGTTCAATTGCTCATCAACTTGGAATTTATGGAAGTGAAGTCCATGGACTTTGTGAATGGTATTATAGACATCACTATTGCCTGAGAGGACTGACCAACAAAAATGACTAGGTGCAAAAAGTATGGCTGAAGCACTTCATATCTTCAGAGGTCGAGAAGAGAATATAAAAGTTGCTGCTAAAGTACAGTGCTAGGAACCTGTGTCTTCAGAGACAATATCTAATAAACCTTGTATCAGACTCTGTGGCTTTTACCTGTATGTAACAGAGCCCCTACTAAAATGCCTTAACCAAATAGAGGTTTGTTTTTGTTTTTCTCTTAGGGAGAGGAAGGCCAGAGCTAGTTCACAGCCCTACAATTTCATCAGAGACTCAAGTTCTCCTTTTTCCTATCATCCTTAACATGTGTTTTTACCTTATGATTACAACATGACTGTTCTACCTCCATGTATTTTTGTCTGTATTCTAAGCAGAAAGAAGGAAACGCAAAAGATGTGTATGATTTGCATTTGTCCCTTCTTATAGGAAAATAACAGCTATCCTCCTGGCCTTACTCAGTAGAGTTCTGCACACAAACCACTGGGTAAAAGCAGGTCACATTGTCTTAAATGTAAAAGAATCTGGGAGATAAGGGATTTTAACTGGGCACATACCTGTCCCGAATAAATCCAGGTTCACTTGGTAAGGAAAAAAGGGGAAATGGGTATTGGTAAAGAACCAGTGATGATTCAATGAGTGGATCCAGTTCTCAAGCGGACCCCAATATACAAGCTAATGCTGACAATCACCTTGTATTTAAATCCAATGAAGCACTGTTGTGACGTTTGCCTCTATATCCCAATACATTTCCTGTGGAAAAAGAGATAACATTCTATTTTTTATTGGTGCAACTAATGATATATAATAGTGGGATTTGTTGTTACATATTTGTACATGCACATAATATAAAATACAATTTGGTCAATTTCATTCCCCAGAAAGATAACATCCTTGGAAATTTATCAAATGGCCTACCATTTTTAAAAGCTTGTCAAGAGAGCCAACAGATCAATAACTATAACTATAATGATATATATATTACATATATATATATATACACATATAGATATATATATACATATATATATCCCTATATATATTATATATCTTTTTATATATATTATATATTCACATATATATTTTATAAATATGTGAATATTTTCCTCTGCCAGATTATCAACAATTTCTGCCCAGTGCTTTGTGTAAGAGGA